CGCCGCGGTGAGCAAACGGGGGGCCGCGGCGAGCGCAGGGACTTACCCAGAAAATCAGGTTGAAGAGGAACATCATATACTTCAGGCAGCAGAGGCAGCCCCTGGCCATGTTGCACTTCTTAAATTCTAGGAGGAACACAAAGGACAGGTCCAGGTAAAACACCACGTACTTGCTGCCTTTGGGGGCATTGTACTTGTCGGTCTTCACGCCGGCCTCGGCGCGGCTCTGGCCCCGAGAGCCCGCGGTGCCGTAGAAGGCGCCGGCCGTGAAGCCGCGGCCGAACGGGCGGCCTGAGCTGGACGGTTTCGCAAAGTCCGAGTCCTTGCTATCCAAAGACGGGCTCCGGTGAATGGAGGAATCCTCGCTACTCGACTTCTCCATGCTCGCGTCTTTGCCGGCGGGCGCGAGGGGCGGGGGGCATCGCTCCCACGGCGGGACGGAGGGGGCGCCCCAGGCGGGCGCGGGCTGCGGGCGGGTCGGCGGGGCCCTGCCCGCCCCCTCTCCGCGCCGGGGCTCACTCCCGGCTGAGCCCCGCGCCCCGCGGCCGCTGCCGCTCGGACGGCGCCCGGCGGCTGCGGGCCGGCCGACCCGGGAGAGCTCTGCGGCGCGGCGCGGCTATGTGTGCGCTCGCGAACTTGGCGTCTCAGGGGCGGCTGCAACTGGATTTCTCTTTCCGGGGCGTCCGCTCGGCTCCCCGTCGCCCCACGCGAGGCAGGAGGGCGCCGGGATCCAGGCTCCCCGGGCACACCTCTCCCAGCCCCGCTCCGGCGCTGAGCCCGTGCACTTGGCCGGCGCTCCGCCTCCTCTCGCTCCGCCACTTTGCGGAGCAGCTGCCGGCCCTGGGCTGCCCGGGCGCGCGGCGGGCTGTGCCGAGGGATCCGCCGCAGCTGCAACCGCGGGGTTTCCCCTGCGAAATCCCAGCCCCGACTCGCGGAGCTGAGGTCGCCCGGAGCCCCCTCCCCTGGCCCCCGGGCCCGCCCCCTGCCTCGCATCCGACCAATGGGCGCGAGGCCTGCCCGCCCGGCGGGGCGGGGGAGCCACCCCCCTCCCCAATGACACAATATCTTTAATAGGATTAGCGTTCTGCTTGTGCCTATACAAGTGCCCGCGAACCCTAGCTAAATGTCAAGGGCTCCGGCGCTGGGGCTGAGCAGATCCCTCATCGGGAAGCGCGTGGGGAGGAAGGGGATGACTGGCGGTACCCCAGGCAAGGGCTGCGGGCTACTGCAGCGGGAAGAAGCCCGGCCACCGTCGAGCCGGCCGCCGCCCCCTCTGCGCATGGCCTCCCCGCGGTACCCACAGCACAGGCAGCGCACACGCGCACACGTGGGACCGGCTCGGGCGGGCAGGGAGAAGGGCCCGCAGGGGAGGCACGAGGTGTGCGTACACGCGCTCGGGGCCTCCGCGGGGCGAGCCGCCCTCCCGCCCCCTCCGCGCGCCCGCGCCCGCGTGCACACGCGCGGCTCTGCGAGGCTCCTGCAGCTGCGCGAACCCCCGCCCCCGCGCTCCCGGGTGGGGCGCCGCGCCGGCTGGGCTGCCCGCCAGCCTGCGAGAGAGGCAGGTGGCTTCAGGGGGGTCCTGCCTTGCCCCTTCCTGCCGGAGTAACGCAGGGGCGCTCTTGGCCGCAGGCTGGACCGTCTCCCATGAGGAGCACACGAAGGGAGCTGCTCAGAGAAACCCCGCGGGCAGTACCCGGAGCAGCTCCTCACCCTGGCGTGAAACGGGGCAGCGAGGGCGGCCTCCCTTGGGCAGGCGCAGAAGTCTGCACAGCCGACCCGGGGGCCCGCCACCCCTTGCAAAAGAAGACTTGAGGGCCAAGGGTGGGGATCCCGCCTCTCCTGCCATCATCCCTGTGGCTCAGCGGACAGTGCTCAGAGCAGGAGCCAAGTTTTGCTGGCGCAGCGCCCCAGCACCTGAGACGGGGCTTGTCTTCTGGAAGGCGCTCCCCAGGGACAGCCGGACTCAGAATTCGTGCCCTGCCTGGGAGTGTGGGTGGGAACATGCGCTCTGGGCCCCGCAGGCCTTTACTCCACACCTATGCCATGTGCCGGGTGGCAAGCAGCGCCCGGGGCCCTTGAAGAAGCAGGCACCCTCAATCTTCCTGTTTTCCCCCAGAGAGACAGGAGGGCATCGGGCAAGGCAGATGGGCAGCAACAGAGCCACCCCAGCTGGCCGTGGAACATTACTCTCAGCCGGAGGGACTCCAGGGCCTCATCACCGGGCTGCAGCAGCGGGGCCTGCATCCTTGCTGGCCAGGGCACTAGGATTCCAGACGCAGCTCAGAGCCTGCAGCGCTTGCCCCATTCGAGCCCCTCCCCCGCTCAGGAGGGCAACCTGCTCCCTCCTGATTCTGCGCAGTGGTCCTGCTGGCGCTGTCTACAGATGAGAGGGCAGAGGTCTGGCAGGCTGCTGTTGGAACCTCGTGCCTCCTGACCCGAATGGCGAATTCTGTCTCTCCCCACCCGGCTCTCCTGGCGGCTCAGGAGGGGCTCACGGCCACCCTTCATCCTCCCCACCTCACTTCTGTGGTGCAGGGAGAGGCACTTAGCAGCTGCGCTGGGACTCACCAGACCCCTTTCTCCCTCAGTTCTTTCCAGCAGTGTGGTTGAGGGCAGGGGAGTCAGCCCTCCTGAGCTCTTTCCTCCTCTTTAACATGGGGGTGAAAAGAGCCTTGTGCAGAGGGCCGTGAGCAGACGGAGCTGGGGTGTGGGACCGCCCACGCCAACGACAAGGTAGACGTCCTGCCTGGTCTCCGGCAGGGCACAAGGGCCCTCTCGGGCTGACCCCTCTACTCTCTAATCTCATCTCCCGCGTCTCAACCCACACCTGCTCCTGTCAGAGTCATCTCTCCATCGCCCCTGGCTGTTGCACCTTCACTTCTCATTATGGATGAAACTGTGCCACCAGCTCGGTCCTCGGAAGTCGGCGGGTCTGGGGGCGCAGAGGCAGGGGGACAGCAGGCTGGTAAGAGTCTGCCCAGTGTCACAGTTCTGCTCCCTCCTGGTTGCACTTGTCAGTCCACTCACACGGCTGCAGGCGGGTCCCATCAGGGTCCCTGGCTGTCACCATCAGGCTAACAGCGACGCCTGTGGTATAACTCACTTTTCCCAGGGCCCAGCCTCCCATGATGTCACCCCCATGACATCCCCATGAGCCGCTCACCATCCCCACTGTACAGGAAAGGAAGTGGTGTGCTTTCCAAGCCTACGTTCTCTACTTTCTTGGACTCCACACATAGTTCCTGCCCTGGGGAAACTCCCAGTCTAACAGAATCTCAAAAAGGGGGGAGGGGGGGCCTGTGCTGTGGCAAAGCAGGTTAACACCCTGGTCTGAAGTGCCAGCATCCCATATGGGTGCCGGTTCAAGACCCGGCTGCTCCACTTCCAACCCAACTCTCTGCTGTGGCCTGGGAAAGCAGCCAAAGATGGCCCAGGTCCTTGGCCCCTGCACCCGCATGGGAGACCGGGAAGAAGCTCCTGGCTCCTAGCTTCTGACTGGCACAGCTCCGGCCATTGTGGCCAAATGGGGAGTGAACCAGGGGGTGGAAGACCTCTCTCTCTCTCTCTCTCTCTCTCTCTCTGTGTGTAACTCTTTCAAATAAATAAATAAATCTTTTAAAAAGGGGGGGGTAAGACCATGAAATATCATGGACTGAAGCGAGACCGTTATCTAACAAACCCCAAGTGAGGGGCGAAAGGGAGAGATGCAGCCAGGTGATGTCTCTGGGCTGCTCATCAGCAGAGTTCAGGATCTCACAGAGGTCTGCAGGAAGGAAAGCGGTGCAGGGAGGAAGCAGTGTGGAAGGCAGGCAGCCAGTCCTGAGGGCAGGTGTAGCCAGAACACAGTCCTTTCGCAGGCCATCCATGGTGGGCCAGCCACTGAGCAAGGACCCAGAAAGACACACAGGTGAACGAGACAAGGCCTTCCGTCCACCTCAAGAAGCTCAAAGACCGAACCTAGAGAAGCCACAGGCAGTGACGCGCGTAGCACCCACTACCAGGAGAGGGCAGGCACTGGGCTGCCCCTTGAGCCCTCCCCACGTCCAGTGGCCCTTGGCAGTGGTTGGCACAGGAAGAGACAGGGAGGGTGGGCACTGCCAGGAAGGCCTTGTTGTAAGTATATCCAGGAGGCAGTGGGGAGACGGGGCTGCCCAAGTGGGAGAGTGTGCCTGGGAAGCAAAGTGAACCGCTCTGCAAGGCCTCCTGTGACAGGTGCAGGTGTGCGCTGCAGCCTGCAGAGTCCCAGGCAGCGCCGGCACACAACAGAATTGGTGCCCCAGGTTCCCGAGCCTGGCAGCAGCGGGGAGATATGAGAGGTGCAGAGATCAGCTGCCTCAAGTGCTTAGACCTGGGGTGCAGAAGGCACACGCAGGCAGGCCGGGGACGTGAGACACTGTCTCGCCATGCCCAGGAGAGCCAGGAGGTACAAGCTGTCCTTGAAGGATCTCTGAGCATGTGAGCAAGGCAGGGCAGCCTTTGCTTTCCTTTTTTTTTTTTTTTTTTTTTTCTTAAACAGTGAAGCCAGTAGAGAAGTCTCAGAGGGGAGGAAAAAAGTGAATCAGTGAAATCAACATGCAGCATCTCTGCTGACTGGCAACTGGGGAGATGAGGGTTTCAGGGTAAATGCCAGGCTCTCTCTGCCTCTCCACGGATTTCTCAGGCCTGCAGCGGCAACACAGCCCGGTCTTTGATTCCTCCCTCACCCACACACAATCA